GCCACAGGAAAGGGAAAAGCAGAGACATTTAACAGTGTTTCATGCTGAAAGAAGAAAAACTGAGTCCTAAGTAGATAAAAGCCTTATCTCTATCTACCGCACCAAAGGCAAAGTACAGCCCTGCACAGAGAAATACGAACGCAGATCAAATGAAAAATCAAAGATGGTTTTAGGATTGTTATGATCAAGTTGTTTTTGGAACACTCAAAACCTGTTTGCACTTCTGTATTATACAGTACAGTGGCTAAACCTAACTGAAGAATAAAGCTCAGTATGCCTGGTATAGCCTCAGTAACCTCTGCCTTGTGCAGAAAAACTGCACTTACTAATCAAACCTTGTATGCGCTGGGCAGCAGACAAACCGCGCTTTACAGCGTGGGACGGTCACATTATGGGTCATCACCTCAAATGACAATACATTGATCACACAGAGGCTTTGGGGGAAAAAAGGGGGGGCGGGAGAGAAAATGTACTGTATACAGGCACGGAAATAGCCATTCCAGATTTTAACAGTGACAAGAAGACAGCCAATTGCAGGCTCTATTTTTAGGCGTGCCGGCGGCCTGGGCTGGCAGTTTTGAGAAGGATGTGTACTTTTCTACAGTTCCTTCCCAAAAATCGACGCTGTCCTTGCTGGCGACAATCACAGAGCAGCTGTTGTGGCTAGGTGGCCCGGCCCCGGCTTGCCTCACCCTGCTGCTTTCTGCCAGCCTAAGAAAACCACTGCCCAAACTTCACACCCGGCTCACAAAAACAGGCGGAAGGCAGACACAAAAGCAAATGTGACTCAATGTGTTTGCATCCGGTGAAAATTACTCAAATTATGGCGTTTTTTTATCAAGGCTGGATTCTAAATTTACATGTGGCAGGATGCTTTGGAGCCAATTTATCTTCAAAATAACAGACACACGGAGACCTACATGGCCTTGCTCTGCAGTGAACTGATAATGACCTACTGCGATATAGACTTTTTGGTACTTTTGCACCATATAAATATATGCTTGCTCTTGAGGGTGAAGATCATCTTGTTTTGGTGCTAGAGCTTGTCTGACAAGTCTACTTTATCACTGACTTTATTCTCAACAACAGAGAAGCCCAAAAAATGTACTGTAGAGTGTATGAAATTGCATAGTGCATAATCTGGAAAGTCTCTGCTGCTTTCACCATGCCATCGAAAATAACAACGCAAAAAGGGTGATTCAAGAAAGTCACACTTGTCTCAAGGCAACAAAATCTTGCAGACAAGAATCAAGCTTGAAAAGTGAATTGATACACACACACACACACACACACACACACACACACTCTGTCACTTACTGCTGATGTAACAAGTATGATGTATTTTACACCAAGCTGTGCTGGGAGTGCGTTTGCTTATGTTTTGGAGGAGAGCCGTAGGGGAATCAGTCACTATATGTCATGCTTTGAAAAGAGGGGCCACTGCTTTAGAATACACATTCATCTGCTTGCTCGTAGAACCACTTGCAGCGAGGGTTGAAAGGTGCAGGCGCTTTCAGAAACACGTCTGATGTCATCACACTCTCCAAGCGCAGACATACCTCACTTTATAAAATAAGGGAACGTCAATGTAACATATTGAACTTGTGCTAGTGCTAGACACTACTACAGGCATCAAGTACACAGAGTGACTGACTCGTAGCTCACACAGAAAGGTGCTTTGTGTTTATCAGAAAGTGAGCTTGTGTCCATATGGTATGGATTAACACCTTGATAAAAGTGGTGTGAAGCCTGACTTCAATTTCCTGTGGACTACATTCTACACTGTAAAATATTAGAGTTATGAAAACCTTCAATTTTCTCCTGAAGAGTCGAGTAAACTCTTCACTGCAGCTCGACTGTAATCTTTCATTCTGACCTGCTCCTTTTCTGTAGTTTACCATAAAAAAATTATCAGTTCTGTAGATCGTTTATCTTCTTCAAATGTACAGACACACACACACACACACACACACACACACACACACACACACCCAGTAAGGTATCACTGTGAGGACTAATTGCTGACAGGTGGCTCTAATGCTCTCCTTTGAAACAAAAGTGTGATTTACGACCACGCTCCCTGAGACCCTGGCTTTCAGCACTGCTACTACAAACTTATCTTTCTCTCCCTATGTCTGTCGCTCTGCCTACTTTATTCCCCCGGTCCTATCTCTCCTTCATTTTTCTGAATTGCACCTCATTACTTTGCTCACTCACTTTCACCTCCTAGCCCACTTTGATGTTTCTGTCCCTCTATGTCTCTCATCGCAGCAGAGCAGTGACTCTCCAAAGTCAGACATCCTTTTAATGTTTGATGGCCTATTTTTCACAGTGTGGAGGAATGTGTGTGTGTGTGTGTGTGTGTGTGTGTGTGTGTATTTCGGTGTTGGGGTTACAGAGGGGTTGTGGGTCTAGACAAGGAAGACAGGAAGGAGAGAGGAAACAAGGGCGCCGTCTTTCAAGAGTGTGTGTATGTGTGTGCGTGTATACATCTGGGGGTGTAGTGTGAGTTCTGGGGCAGGCAGATAACAATACGACTCAAGTCTGGCCTCACGGTCCCAGCATCCTCTGTCACCTATTCTGGCCCTTAAGAAGACTGAAAAGAAGCCTGGGAACAGCTCAGGGGGAAAGTATATTGTGGCCATGAAACTCACTTGTAAAGGAGGGATAAATTATATAGATAACACAAGTACGTGTAATTTCATATTGGAATATTAATATGAGTGAGTGAAGATGTCTCTGTCTAATCTAGTGAATTAAATACCTGACAAATTCAGGTGCTTCATCACACTGATGCAAAATGTATACAAACAAAATCTGACTAGAGGTCTTCCCATACACACATTCATTTATTTTAAAAAGAGAGACCTGATCTGATATGTCCACTGAAAGTCAGGCACAATCCAAAATCACTCGAACAGAACCACCACAAGTGGCAGCAGTATGCTACCAATAAACAAGCAGCCCACATTCAAAAAACCCCAATAACAATACATTTTCCCACTTCATTCCGTTATATAATGTATCTATCATAAATTTGTATTAAGTTGTTTCAGCTGTAACATCAGCTAAAATTAATAGATTAACAGTTAAAATAGAGACTTAAAGTAATATAAATGTTGAAAAAGCTAAAAGTAGTAGATAAATGAATGTAAACAGTTAAATGTAAATGCTCCGTATTTGTACAGCGCCATTCTAGTCTTTTTGACCACTCAAAGCGCTTTTACACTACATCTGCATTCACCAGTCATACACATTCATACACTGAGCCTAAGTGCTCAAACAGAAACAAAAATTCACACACATTCATACAGTTACATTTTAACATTTAAATGGTTAAGATAGTTACCTAGATATCATGTATCAATAGTTGAAACGTCCAGCTTCTGCCACTTGAAGTGTGACTCCAAACTTTACCAACCTACACTGTGACAGTTAAATTCTTTGAAGAAAATACTGTAACAATATCTACTTCCATATAGTTAATAGTGTTAAATAACATCCAGTCAACAGGTGTCGACAGAGGGGTACTTAAGTTCATCTGAGAGGGCTGCGGGAGTACGTCAGACACAAAAGGTTGGGAACCAGAGGTCTAATGGAACAAGAGATACTAAGAGAAAGGCTATAATAAAGTCTAATATCTGATGTTTGACTCACTTCTATCATCAGTATGTTGTTGTTTCTCCCAACACTACTGTTAGGAAAACAAATCTGCCCTTTTAAAAGTTGTGTTTCAGGACTTTACTACTAAGCTTTGGGAAAAACTTCAGGAAGCAGATCTTCTGTGGGATATATTTAACAGCTTCCTCTATGACCTTGATTTTACAATTCAATTACTTTCCATGAGACTCCAATGCCCCAAAAATGTCATTTCATCTCTAAATACTCTTTTCATTTCATCAGTTCTTACAGTTTTGTGGAGGGGTTGGGGATCTGGTTTCCACTCCAGTAAGCGGAAAACCATCTAGTACAATGAGCATATAAAAGACGTTGTAAAATTATATTATGTACCCACTGGTCATTCCCAGCCATTCAGTTCTCTGAAGTGTTTATCAAGTTCTTGACCCTGCCCTGGCGGCAGAACACTTATCAAAGCTCAGGGATATTCCTGGAAACCCATGACTAATGAGAACTGTGATATTTTACACTGAGTTACACCTCTGGGGTCAAGCAGTGCAGCTGACACAAAGTGTGTGTTTATCAGTGTGTATCTATGTCAACCAGGGACACGCAGACTGTGAGCAGCCTGCACTGGTGTGTTTGACAAACAAGGGAGACAAGGTTGTGGCACACAGATCAGAGTCCCTGGAAAAAAGCAACTGAGATGACCAGTCACTGGAAACAAACACACACACACACACACCCCACACCCACACCCACACCCACACACACACACACACACACACACACACACACACTCGCTCAACAACGATTTTATAATTGGCCATTTGAATCATTCATCAAGCAAAATGGCAATACTTTTTTGCTATCATTTTCAAATGTGACAAATTGCTGCTTTTCTGGTGGCAATCTTTGCACAGTTTTATAGACCAAAACATGTGTACATTGTTTTAGAACTCCAGCCTAAATAAAGGTACAGAATATTTCATTACATCCATAGATGGTTGACAGCCAAGGTGATGGCCAATAAGAGCCAATAAATGGCAATATAAGGTTTTCTGACCAGTCAGAAGTATTACAGAATATATCAATAAAGTTAATTTAATAGATTAAATAAAGTGTAAAGTTAAAAATAAAAAAATACATTAAAAAGCTTTAAACTTTACCCCTAAGCTCTAATAAGATGGCAAAATGAATAGTTGATTGCCAGTGCTTGAAATTTTATATTTAAAACTTTGCAATAAGTATATATGTGAAGCCCTAGTCTAAGCGGACCTGAACGCCGTCGGGATATTAGGTCAAAACTGGGTCTTAAGCTTTCTATAAATTCCTCTACATACAGTAAAGCCCTTCACTCGCCCTCCCTCCCAGCTCCTCACCATGCAGTGGAGACCCCGAGGGGCTGCTAGACAGACCAGGTATGGGGCTACAGCGGCCTCCGATGCCTCCTCCTCCACCCAGGATGCAGCCACCTCCTCCTATGCCGCCTCCTCCTCCTGCCCCTCCTCCTAACGCAGCCGCCCTGTTCAGCTCCTGCTCGATCTCTTCCAGACCGGCGCTCTTTTGGAAGCGTGACATCCGGTTGACCACCCGCGGGGACATGTGAGTGCGGGCACAGGGTGCACCGCCGTAGGGGTTTACGGGAAATACATGGGTGGTGCCGCGGAGGGTGCTGATGGCTACCCAGCGGCTATCCTGGCTGAAACACATGTCCTGGACCTGGACAGAGACAAGACAGATACAGAGGTCAGAGGACAGAGGGTGGGGACAGTAGGAGGATGAGTCAGAGAATGTGCAGAACAGATGAAGGATGACTGATTCCTGAATAGCTCAAACAAACAATACATAACTTCACGTTCAAGTTTGGTAATTCTCTAAATTAAGTTCTGAACTCTAAAAACTCAGTTTTTATTAGCATTCGCGGATTAGCATTCTGGTCATGTCACAAGTCCTATACTGTGTTAACAAACGCATTTGATTACTTGATAACAACAAATAAAACCTGAATTTGAACGTGACGTTCAGTGAACTCACCGCAGGTTATCACTGCACTCTTCTCTCTTTTGGTAAGACATTTACAGAGTATATTTGACTACATTTACCTGCTTCTTTTTTAATTATTATAAGCCGGATCAACACCATCTCCACCTTTACCTGTTCTCCTGTAAGCTGTAAGTTGGACCTGCTACTTGACCCACAGAATGATCCTGGCGTTTCGGAAAGGAGCTGACAGCATAATTAGCTGCAGTCAGGTGCTGATCACACACCAACTGTGGCCACAAGTTCAGTGAAAACAGTAAGGCACATTTGTGTTGTGCCGTTTTCGAAGTAAATCTGATCCAGCTGCTAAAATCAAACTTAGAATATAGGATTCAATCTCTCTGAAAAACCGATGGCACCATGCATATTATATATGCTCTTTTAGAAGTCCAATTATATGCGTAATCTAAAATGTTGGTAGTTTTCCAATGTTAGAATGTTGTAGTTTGTAATCATTAAAAGTATGACTTAAAACAGTTTGAAGCCTAGAATATTATGCAATCTGTTCTGCCATGCAAAAGAACAAGACCTGGTTTCCCAAAAGCATCTTAAGGCTACAATGATCGTAAAATCCATTTTGCAAACCACCTTAATCTGAAGAGGTGTTTCCCAAAAGCAGCATAACTGAAGACCCTTTTAGGTACGATTGGACATTAACGACTGCCTCCTACCCAGTAGTAAGAGGCTAAGAGCTTCTTACGAAGATCAGGAAACTCCAGGAGGAACTACATGTTTCATATCAGTGATAATGCTTATATTAGAAATTTAGAAATTCAAGAGTGTTTAATAGAAAATGCTAGATATCGTTCATCAGGATGGGCGGTGTTCTGACTTCTGAGTGACAGAGTGCAAGAAAGGACGAACGATGGTGATAATTGAAAGGCGATGTTTATGCCAGTGAAAATGAAATGTGCAGGTCAGACTTTCAAATCCAACTTATCCATACTGCCATGTTGTACAAAAGTAAAATTAACTAGATGGATATTTTGAAAATAGGTACCATCATCTATGCATTATTTTCTTCACACTTCTGCACAGAGAAATATGGGAATAAATGTGGTAATAAACTGCATCTAACTGCCAGAGCATTAGCGTGACTAGAGTGAAGTGTTTATCACAAAGATAAACAAACCTGTCTGAGGTGCTTTAAAAACGTTGACCAGCATGAGCAGTTTAGAGAATAATCATTGGCAATGGTGACAATGTGATATGAGCTTGTTTGGTGGGAAAATAAATGACTAAGACAAAACAAAAGATTTGACGGCATCCTTTGTTAGTCCTCAGCCTCAAACAGTGACTGACTTAGAGAGCAGACACTTAAGAAGATAGGATCTCCTTGAGCATGTTAGACATGCAGGAAACCAGACAGATAGGCTGCAAGGGGCAAAACAAACAAACGAGAGTGGGAGAGAGAAAATGAAAAAACGCCAAGGAGTGACAAAGGGTGACAGACTGATGAGGTGGTAGTTTGCTGAAAGAGCATCTATCATTCGACATACTATTGAAAAAAGGCTGGAGAAAGTGGATGGGACTGGTAAACAGTGAGAGGAAAAGGTCCAAGAGAAAGTTAAGATGAGGAATGTCTAAGTCTTTAGCCAGCAAGCAAGTCAGCCAATCAGAGAGGCAGCTCTGTACCTCCAGGCCTCTAATCTTTTGCCAGGTCAGACTAGGTAATTGTCCCCAGCAATGACAGTTAATGGGGCATCCTCTGCATACCAGACAGTTACTTTACTTTTGCAAAGATGAGTGAAAGAGGAGGCCCGACCTCTGCTTGGGCTGATTAGGGATGACTTGGAGATGAGAAAGGGCTACTTTGTGTGTGTCGTAATTGGTCATAATAAGACCTGTCAGAACTCCAACTGTAAATGGGTGCCTGTATTTTACTGTCAAGTCCATTGTGTCAGGCAAGGGGGTTACCTGAAGGGCTGCTGTGGTTGTACAGTCACAGTGTGACATCCATGCAGATATCAAACAGTTGTCAAAAAGTGGAATGTAACTGTATTCAGTCACGTACATGCGCCAGTGTGGAGGTTGCACATTCCAGAGGGGCTGGAAAACTCTCCCTCCTGTCCTCGTACTCACGAGTACTTGATGACATCCTTGGCAGTCAGGGAGATGCCAAGAAGACATGTTTAATGCGTCTGACTTTTTCAGTGAAAAGAGTGTTAGAGAGATTAGGCGGCTCTGAATGACAAGAATGTGACAAAGATGAACAGAGGGATAAGACTGAAGAGAGAGGACTAACATACTCTTGGATGGATCTCAAGTGTATCTGCAGTAGAAAGGGAATATAAAGAAGACGCCAACAACGTAGTTGTAGTAGTTGAAGAATCGCATTAGAAAAGGTTGATGGAAATAGCAAAATTTGAAAAAAATATAAAAAGAAATATCCTTTCGCAAAAAAGTTTTTACGCTCGCTTGAGGTGGTTTTTGGTTTAGTCGAAAAAGAGCAAATGCACTAAATGGAATGATGGAAAAACTTTTGATGAATAACTTCTGACGTAGCTCACGTTTGATCAGCTGTTTCTGCTGTATGTGTCTTGCCGGATATTCCCATAACGCGCGGAGACATGTCTGGTAGCAGTTTGCCCACTCGAAACACTCCCTCTCTCCATTTTTTCTAAGATCAATGGCCATCAGTTCAATGCGACTGGTTTTGCTTCTGGTTTGGAACCCATTCATCTTGTTTATTACAGCCATGTGTAACGTCAACTACTGATCATAGCCTTGTTTATTCGCTCCAAAGCAGCTGATGGAAACTCACCTATTTACTATTTTTTCTTTTTTTGCAACATATCAAAAGTCCGCTCAAAATTCGCATGACAATTAGATGGAAACACGGCTAATGAATGAAAACCAAATGTGGGTTTTGTTTAAACAATACTGGATTGCTAATGTGCAAGGCCTTGTTTAAGAAATTAGACAGTAGCCAGTCAGTGTAGTAAACCAATAGTGTAAAATTATGGATAATACACATTTTCACTGATTCCACATACAGTATGTTATGGAATTTTCCAAAGGATGCACCGATCCGATACCCAGCATTACGATAAGTAGCCTTCTTCCGTAACGTGGGAAAACATTGGCAGGACTGTGTATTTTATCATCTGTGTGCATATGCGTCCTTGTGCATGTGCACGAGACTCCATGTTGATGTCAATATATCCCGTGTTTCTGCAACCAGTGACATTCAGGTTTAAGTGCAACATGCCCGCCGTCACGTTATCTTTATCTCTAATGACTGAGGTACACAGATTTGACATATTGGAAGTGGGATTAAGAGAGACAAAGTTAGATTGGTCAGGCAATGCGTTTTTGTGCCCTGGTTACTGTGAAGTCACCATATACATGTTGCGGGTTCCTAATCAGATTTCTAACTACCCCTGACTCCTTACTTTGGAACCATAGTTTACTTATATTAAGTTATTACATATTCAAGAAGAGTTAGTTTTAAATCATGTTATTAAATTATTTTTAATACGAGGTCACATCGCTACATGTAATGATCTCTCTTTTGCCATGCCACTCAACTTCCGCTCAAGGTTTTGTTATACACATGTTCACATGTAAAAAGCTTATTGGAAACCCAGTTAACTGTATACTGTATGTTGCCAAGCAATCAATGTTCTCTAGAAGATATCTGGCTGAGGAAATCAGGTGTCTGGAACCAGATTTCTAATTTACATAAAGTTGAAGAAGTCGGTGCATAAAGCCAACAACAGTCACTTAAGTGCATGTAAACGGACTGACAGGATCAGCCTTCAAATCCCATCTCACTGCTATCACAGCTGATGGTGCAGGGCTGCAAAGTGTAGCAGTAACGGAGTGTCACCCCTGTAACCTCAGTGGCTAGCGCTCTCCAGTTTGCCCCGTGGCTCCGCTCTCATCTACATTCCCTTACAGCTGTTATCAGCAGTGGGCCTGTTTACCTGGCCTCGGGTCACTGACAGCCAGCCGCATGTTTGGTTGCTGGAGACAGATAAGGCGTCTCTCCACCCACCTACCTGAAGACTTTATCACTCTCCACTGTGTGCCTGAGTGTGTGTGTGTGTGTGTGAGAGTGTGAGTGTGTGGTGATAACCCCTGGCCCAAGCACTAGGCTAAGGCCAGCTTTCAGTGTTTACAACGGGCTGGATCAAAGCAGGCTCAGTGTGCATTCGGTCAGAGGACCTGCCGTTTGGTCATACATTAACTACAGGCAGGCTGTGAGAATGTGTGTGCGTGACAGTGTGTTTTCCCAGTCAATAATCCTGAACCGAACAAGGCCTGAAGTAGTTTTGTTGAGTAAGCACTAACCTGCACTGCAAAGTCTCCGTGTGTCACAGCTGAGCAGGTATAGGAAAATTCAAAAGATCTTAACTTGGAAGGTGATGACTGCGTTTATTAACTATGTTATGTTTTTATTTTTAATTCCTCAATAATAATAATAAAATCAAATTCATTCACATTTCCCTGCTCATCTCAAAAGGTTTCTGATTAAATAAAATGCAGATGTATTTTGTATCTATGTGGGTACCTTGTCTTTAGGGGTTTAAGCAGCTACCACTAGCAAAGCCAACAGATATCACACCCTGTCTACAGTGGCAGATCTTTTTGAAATCATTTTTAAATGTATGTTTTTTCAGTGAACATACTATTTTACAGCTCTTATTTTAATGATGTTAAGTAATTATTTAAAGTAAGTATTAGTAAGTTATAGTGCTGTTAAACTGCTGCTCGACTGTCCGCTAATCCAGGTGGTGCCTCCCTATGGCCAGCAAGCTGGAATGCAAGTTTCTGAAAGGCTAAATGCCAATAAATACAGATTTATCTGCAGCAGTGCCGAAATACTGGGTTTACTGGGTTTAAAGCTTAAAGAAGTTGGGTTTAAAGTATTCAGTACTGCCCTTGTTTTTACCGTTATGGAACCCCCCTACTGTACCGTAGAGAATAAACAGAAGGGAATTCACAAAGGAATTGATTGGGTAAATGAAAAAGGCAATGCCCAAAACTAATTAATGATCCTAAACCGGCTGCAAACATGTTGAAAAGTTAAACTAATAGAAACCAGTGGAATGAAAAGCAATATTTCCCCCTGTCATTTAGTCATATTGCTAATGCAGATGGTGGTGTTTCCTATACTATGCTTATAACATGGCCATTTTTAAAAGAACAATGGTAGACTGTGAGTAAATCATCATCTGATTTATGAAATCTTCTTATAGTCAGCCCAATCAATAGTTGTGTTAACTTCACCAGTGTAATTCATATGTACTGTTGCAATGGTTAACTGTAGTTCCTAAAGAGTGGATCATAAGAACATATGTGGTCTGTCTGTTTTGATATACAATTTTAAAATCTGTTTTACTTTGAAAAGGCACGATTCAGCCCACATCCATTTGAGCCCACATCCTGTTTGAGTGTTTCTACAGCATCTTAAGAGGGTGCTGGTGACAATACTGTATCTATGCAAAATACCTTTTGTTTAAGAAACCTGAAAGTCTAAAGCTTTAATCGTCCCATTAGTGTATTAATGTTTTACATGGAACCAGCAAAAGGTTTTTTTTACTGTTACCCATTCACGCTTCATATTGGAACATGTAATAATTTGTTCTTTTTTGTGACTCAGTGATTTAATGTCTTTCTTTTAATTTATTTCTCCCACAAACTGTGGAAGGCACTGAATCCAGGCATGAAGAAAAACACTGCAACTGGACAGCTGACAGGAGGATCTTTGAAACTTCTACTACTGACAGAAAATCGATTGGTACTTGCACACCTGATACAAGTAGGTGTCAGGAAACCATCAAGTGTGTTGTGTGGGGGAAGAAGAGGGAGAAAGACACTAAATAATGCTGATTATCCAACTAGAGCAGAGAGTTTTGGTTTGATCTAAATGTAAGTCATTTACCTGCTGGTCCATGCTCTCTGGTTGCAAATGTTCACTAGTAGTGTCCCTATGACAGTATTAAAATATAAACAGTCTTGCTGTAATCTAATGCACCTACTAATATTCAGAATGCTACGGGTTGGCAGAGCAAACCACAGTAGCTGACCCCTTCAAAACACTACACAAATTGGAACTGGAATATTTCTGGGTATTTGCTCTACAAAAATGCAATCCATGTGCTGCTCTCTCTTTTGCTTGGTGTCATAACTCTTTTATTAACTCTTGCAAAGAGTCTTTTGTTTTACGTGGATGGACCAGCATTACATAATGGACCTTGTTTTCATTCGTCTGTTATGATAAGATTTTACTTTATTACATCTGATGGGACGCAGCAACATATCTGGCAACATATTATCTGTAACAACTTACAACAACCACAACTAATTTGGAAGACTGTGTGTATGTGTGTGTGTGTGTGTGTGTGTGTGTGTGTGTGTGTGTGTCTCAGACCTTGGCCTCAGTTTCCCCACGATGCAGGGTATAGAGATGGTGAACAGCGCTCTGTGAGGACGCCCATGGGTGGGTGAGAATCTGGAAGACGTGAAAATCGTGGCCCAGAGTGTCGGCAGTCACCAGCAGCATTCCTACAATATACATACATACGATCATCAGAATTAGGAATCACTCCCACAGCTGGCTTCAACATAAACTGGTTAGAATCATCACAACTGTTACTGTTTATGTATTATTGTGGTCTTAGTTTCATTGCCCTATGAATTTAGAGGTTTTTATGTGTCATTTTTCCTTTCACATAAATGTATGCTTTACTTTATACAGGCTTCTGTATTGCATGCTTCAGTGAGTATGTGTCCGTAGTGTTTAATACTGCCTTAAGTACAGTCAATTGCAGTCAATACAATACAGTATGCATTAGCAATGGGATTTTTTAATTCCTCCTCTGCCTGCAGGTTTCCTAATTTAGTAATAGTATTTTTATTTGTATTGCAATTTAAATTTTGTTATGGTAGCATCAGGCCAGGAACTACAGATATCAACTTGCCTTTTGGCCAAGTATGGTAGATTTATCAACAAAAATGAGCTCAACTAAAAATAGTACCAATAGGTAATGGTTGCAAAAGTCATCAGACTTAAAAATGTGTACTCAAATCACCCCACCAATTTTACACATAAATGTAGGATCAGGTGTTTTTAGAACTTGACTTGTTTTAGGGACTAAAAGTCAGGATCTCAATCTCTGATACTCTTGTTAGTTACTAAACTATATAAGAGTAACATAGTAAATCAGATGAAAAAAAAGGTTTAGTTTTTATATTTTCTACTGCCAGCTTCCTTGCCTAGACTTTCATTAGCCTTACCTGAAGTGCTTGCCTCAGGTCTTTATTTGGAACAGTCATCACAGCCATCACAGCACAAAATTGTAAGTCATAGTTACTCCTAAACATGTCAGTTCATAACATACGTCTTTAAAACATATGTTTCTCACAGTCTTTGTTCAGAAATTCTACTTTAATAAATGTCTTTTATTATGTAAAGATAGTCTAAATGGTGCCAGTGTATTTAAACTTGCCACTGGTACACTAGTAAACTGGTAAAAAGTCAGGCCAGTCAAAATCTTTAAACTGTATTTCATTTTGGAGGCTCACACAAAGGCAGCCAACACTACCAACTGTGTAGGAAACATGCTAGCCAGCATGACAGAATTACTGTGCCTTTAAAACAAACAAACCAGCCCATCAAAACAAAGCCAGCTATCGTTTGTCGCTGTCATAAAATGCAGCCTTCCCTCGCATGGTAGCTTGGTCTGGTTAAAAGCAAGACTCGAGTCGTGTGCTTCTTCAAGGACAGACAAGATGATGAGTGTCTGTAAAAGAGAGAATCTATGTATTCATACATCTGTGAATGGTCATGGGTGTGTGTGTGTGTATGCACACTGAGATTCACCAAAACACTGAACCACAGATCAGCACAAGGGTAACCCCCTCTGACAGGCCCATTCATTTGGTCCTGTTTTATTTGAAGCTCGTCAAACTGCAGAAAGTATAGGCCCTCACCATAAACAACATGCTCAACAAACCACACCAGAACAAACCCAGATCTGAACTGGCTTGGTTAGAAAAAAAACACTGTACTGCTTTTCAAGCGCAACCCAAAACCCATTCCCAGAAGCCTTCTGAGATGTTACAAACAAACCCGTAGATCGAGCAGTAACTCAAAATGTTGGAAATGCATCTCTGATACAGAGCGTAAGACTTGAAAAAAATGTCCGAATCTCTGTGTTTTTGACGACTCCAAGACATAAATGATATTACAGTAATTAGTCATTTTCCTCTGAGTTTTTCCCTATGGAACGTTTTATGTGGAGGCTGCAGTAGGTTTTAATTAGTGGCCCGGCTTTATTGGGTGGCATGTCAAATGTGAAAAGAGGAGGCTGGAATGGCATGAGATTAAAAGGATTCAGCAACACGTGTGAGGGAGATGGAAAACGTTCCCTCTCTGGGGAAAAAAAAAGTCAAGTGTGCTGCAAACTTTTATACATTCATTCAGAGTTGAAAGGTTTCCTTTTTTAAGACATGTGTATGACTGAAGACAGAACAGTTATATTTAAAGATGATGAAGAGGTGGAATAAGGGAGGTACAGAGTGGATGAGCGATGGGGTCATGCAGATTATCAGAGGTGGAGGGAGGCAAGCAGAAAAGAAGCCAAGTGAAGTGTGCATTAAGACAGTGGTTAGCTATTCATGCTGTATCAGAGCGACCAGAAAGCCAGAGAGCTAGGGCCCAGGGACTGTAAACTCTTGAAAACCCACGCCCCAAACGAGGTGCCAAGCCACAAGAAGCATTTGCGTCAACTGGGAATACAGAGAAAAAAGGGACGGGGCCCTTCTAATTATAGAGTCTGGAAACGGAAGCGCAGGGTGATTAGGAGTTGAGGCGCTGCGGTCTGTTTATCTGGGAGCTTCCTCTCGCTCTCGAACCCTTTCTCCCCCACACTCTACTCTTTCTTTCTTTCTTTCTTCCTCATCTCTCTGTTTTGGTCAGGCCCTGCCCACCCAGTGGCTATAGAGTCTGGCCCCTGGTTTTCTGACAGATGAAACTTGGCCGCTGTGTTCTGGTCAGCGCCAGCGTTTCTCTTCTGCTGATGGTAGAGTCTGGGCTCCAAAAAAGTAACTGCTCAGAAAGGCTGGAGAGCTTTATGAGTGTGAGTGCCCGAGGACTGGGGCTTTTGTGGCCTTGTTGAAATACAGAGGCCCTCGCCGAGAGGCGTCAGTCGGTTAGCTCGCGGGAAGGCCAAATTAAAAAGTAGCTGAGCCGTTCGGCGGGTGAAAAGAGAGGGTTTCGGGGAAACCAGAGGCTGGCTGGAGCAGGGTTTGACACGTCCTATTTATAACACCTCGTCCCATGGGTTACAGTGTTATTTACGATGTTTTAGTACCAAAATCGCTGGCACACGCACTTAGACATGCATTAAAGTGCAAGAGATGACCTCTAATTTGCCATGTGTGCAAGACATGCGTCTGTATGGGACATGAGGGACGTGATATAATCATTTCCATAAATATCTGCTTTTGCTTTCTGTTTTTTGTTAGTTTTTTTGTTTTGTTTTTTCAAAAAAATCGTTTTGTTTTGTTTTGCCGCAGGCTTTACCGTCCCATCTCTGACCATCCAAACAGAAAACATCTGCTCAATCCCATTAATAGTGGGAGGATGTTTCATTTACAAAGTGGTTGAGTTAGCTTTATTCCTGACAAAGGCAGCTGGGACGAGAGTGGGAGAGAGAGAGGGAAAGCAAAGAAAGAAATGGAGAGAGCAACAAAGAGGGCGGTGATTTCCCTACTTGGCAACACAAAATGCCACAACAAAACCGGTCCACTTTTTAATTAACAACACTAGGCTCAAAAAAAGCTTTGAAATCGGGAAAATCTAAAATTATAACCATGTGGAAGGCATAAAGCTTACAAGATGGAGAATTTGGGGGACTCAGATAGCTTTACTGTTACCAGGATGCATAAACTTCAGAGCAAATGAGCCTAACACACAAATGAAAGAGTATCCATCGTAAGACGAGGCTTTGTCTTCAGGGCTGCCAATTTGGGGAGAAGGACCGGACTTTTTGTCTCTGTATGTACTTAAACATATGCTGGGCATATACAATACAGAGTCTGCATTCTGTATACAAAGCTAACGAAAGTGTTAGCGTTGCTACGGGTACTTCAACCACCTAGGAACCATTTGCAATTACTTCTCTACCCAGATTCCATTCCCACCATCCATCCACCTCCACTTCAATCCTCTACTACCCTCCAATACACCTACATGCATTTTTAAGACCTAACCTGATGAATTCAGTCAAGAAATCTTGAGGACTTTTCTTAGTGGAATGCCAAGGGTTTGGCCTTCAGACCACAGAATGTTCTGATGGTCACATCAGTAAAGTAATAGATTAATAGGTGTGTGTTCTCTTTTTAAACAGCGCAAATGTGGCTACTGTGCTAACTGAGGGAGGGAGGAGAACGGCCAAGTAATCCTCTCACCAGCACAGCACCACACTAATTTACGAGCAGTTTTATTTCCACTGGGCAGCAGGGTAGGTATTAGGGTTAGTCAGATGCTACCAGACCAAAATCAACCACCTAATATAAAAGAGAGGCTGCAGTCTAACTAATTACATATTTATTTTAGAAATTATAAACACAACCTGGTTTTATTTTTAGCTAGGAATTGAATAGGCATCTCTTCGTGTTTGTATATAGGTTGTGTTATTATCTTCCTGCTTTCTAATTAAAAGTGCTACTTAGTTTAAATGTTTTGAAAGTGACTTTTCAAGACAAGCAAGAGCCCAACCGACATTATTTTTCAGGGAGGATAACAAAAATATATACCAATATATGTTTGAGTAAAATATTCATTTTACACCACACAGACCCCTTAAAGGATAATTCTGGTTTGAAAGAACTTGATGTTTATTCTTTAAGTCATAATTTCTGTTACAACCCTCAAATTTGGAAACATGACAACAGTTTAGTCAAATTATCTAAACCAATTTTTGGGAGTTGAAAATAAAATAGGTGCAACCTAAAATTTGGTAACAAGCACAGAAAACTACTAAAGTACTTCAGCCTAATGCTTGAATCAGAATGTCAGTCTCTAAATTGTTTTTTTTAACAGACAGTTTAGATATAATTTTGTCATGGGCCTTAATTTTCTCTTCCAAAAAGGTCTGGCTATGCCGGGAGTCTATTAACCTGTCTGATCATCTGACTACTTGTATGTCTTGACCTGCCTGACTTCTTTTTAACTTCATTGCAGCATTCCCTTTTCTCAGCAATTAACTCTGTGAGTGTAAAGAAAAAACAATGACCAAGCCTATGAAAATAAGATCTACAACTAGACTAGACTATCTACTTTTTTGGTTTAATATACCTTTTGGGCAAAGACTGACCTGGCCATTTTACAGTTTGAAAACAAACTTGGGTGTGCACTCTTGTCATCAAACTATGTACCAGCATTGATGTTGTTAAATTACCTCAAACGACTCTGCTGATTTATATGCCAATACCAATGTATTTGTGATAATATCAGCCTGGATGATGTATTCATACTGAATACTAAAGTTACCCATAAA